CCGCCGCCGCGGCCCTCCGCCGCCTCATCTCGTACTCCCTCATCACGGTCGCCCTGAACCCATCCACCAGGCTCCCCGACCCCAACCACTCCAAACCCTTCACCATCTTGTCCTCCTCCTTCGACCTCCTCTCCTCCCTCGTCTCCATCTTGAACACCATCGGTTCCTCCTCGTCCACCGACAGCCTCCCCCTGTAGTTCTCTGACTTGATCGAGTCGAATACGAGGACGTTAGCGGCGGGGAACTAGGAGAGCAGTAGCTTGGAGATGGCCTTGGAGCGACTAGGGCTAACGTGGCAGGGGACGGAGGTGATTTGGACGGAGGGTTTGTCGGGGAGGGAGAAGAGGTTGATGGGGGATGAGGAGGGAGAGAGAGAAGGCGACACCACCAGTGAAAAATAGGTTGAGGGAAGGGGCAGAGGTCATGGGTTAAGAGGAAGGTTTCCAGGATGAGAGATGATGGCATTTTCGGTAGCTTATAAAAAATACATGGAGTACATGTATACTTGGGGCTGGGGCACACTTTGTAGTCTCTTTTGGAGCTAAAGAGTAAGGGAAAAAGATTGGGGGACTGTGCCACACCAGTTTATTTTTTGGGGGCTTTGACACATTTTCCCTAGATTTTGACTTTATTTTGTAATTTTCATGATATTTACCAAGATGGACAATTTCTATAAAATTTTACTTTAATTTGTTATTTTTTTTATTTTTATGACATGAGTTATTGTCTCAAATTTGTGACTTTATTTTGTAATTTTTAGGAACCGTGTGATTATCTTTTCCAATGCAAGGGGTGCGTATATTATTTCTTGGTGGCTTATTACAAAATAATTCTTCTGATTTATTTGAGTAATACTCGATCACTATGCTTAAAATATATTATTTTAATCTAAATTTTCATTATGATTGTTTGTTATTTCTATTATATATCTCTATCTTCTTCATCTAGATCACATTTCTTAGATGCTATTGTTTTTGCTATTGTTGATGTTTCACCATTGTCATAATCATACCCACTTTTTTACGTTCTTGTTGTTGTTGTTGATGTTGCTCTGCCTACTCGGCTCGTGTGACTACTCTACAATTGAAGAGAGAAAGAGACAATTAATGTGAGCGACTCAATTCACTGAATTGTTTCTCAAAGTAAGCTAGATTTTACATAATACACTAACATGAATCTATTTGATGTAACTTTAAGTAAATTAGAGACTTATTTATAGCATCAAGTTTTTAGGAAAGCTATTTGGATAGCTATCTCTTAAATTAAACTTAATTTCCAAATATTATATGCTACCAACTATCCTCAAAACTAAAAATTAAAAATATGTGCCATAACTTCTCTAAATAAAATTCAATTTATAGAGCAACAAAATACTCCTAAACTAAAAATAAAATTTTATAATGTGCAATGTCCTTTAAATAAAATCAATGGAAAATGTCCATAAACTAAAATTAATTTATAAAAAGACAAAAATTCTAAATTAAAGATTGAATTTTAAAAAGACAGATTTAAAGGATTGAAAACATTCTAAACTGAAAATCAAACTTACAAATGTTACGAATTCCAAAGAAATGTTAGATATGTACGTCACTAAACTAAATTTCCAAATTCATAATTAACCTTCATTTCTCTAAAGGGAAAAGTGTGTCAAGTCCCCAAACGTAATAACTTCATGTGACATAGCTCATCTAACTTTTCCCCATGTGCTGCAGCCCTAAATTACAGATATATGTGATTCAACCCATTTTCATGTAATTCTCATGCTAACTAAGCACAAAAAGAGAGAAATATATATAAAAGCCCAAAATACCATATTCCTCCTCTCTCTTCCTTCTCTCCAGATCTAAATTTGGTCCTCCTCTCCTCTCATTCTCTCTCCTAACCCATTTACTCCATCCTCTCTCTCTCTCTCTCTCTCTCTCTCTCTCCATCCCTTCCGCCTCCGCCGACTTTGTGTGCACGCTCCAGCCATATTGTTTGCTCCTTTTCTCCCACTAAGTTTTTCCAATCTCTCTTTCTTTTCCCTAAAACTTAAAAAACCTTAAAAAAACCCTAATTTTCTCTGACACTGAAGGAGAAAAGGTGGCGAAGAACACGATGGAGGAGGCAGTGTGGAAGAGGATGAGAAGGAGCTCGATGTTGCCGCAAGTTCCACAAAACATCCAAGCTATCGATTTTTTAAAGAAATTTGTAATTTCTATTTGAACATCCTGGAAAGATGAAAGATTTAAAGATATACCAGCTCAATGTGATTTTTTGAATAATTTTTGATGTTAAGTTTAAGTCCAATGTGGAATATTAAATCTAATGGGTTAGAAGTCAAGTCCAAGGTATTGTATGTTAAGTCGAATGACTTGTATGTTAAATCCATTGGGTTGAATAATAAGTCTAATTTGTTGAATGTTAAGTATAACAGATTATATATTAAGTCCAATTTGGTTCGTGTCAAGTCTAGTTTGGTTCATGTTAAGTTCAGTTTGGTTCGTGTTAAGTCCATCTTAATCATTTTAAGTCTAATTTAAATTATTTTAAGTCTAATTTAAATCATGTTAAGTCTAATTCAACTTATTTTTTTGACTTAAAACATGTTAAATTAGACTTAACATGATTTAAATTAGACTTAAATAGAATTTAACATAATTAAAATTAGACTTAAAATGAATTAAATTAGACTTAATATGAATCAAATTGGACTTAACATAAAATTAGATTTAAAATAAGTTAAATAGACTTAACATGATTCCGGCCATGTTGTTCGCTCATTTTCTCCCACTAATTTTCACCGCTCTCTTTTTCTTTTCACCCTAAAACTAAAAAAATCCTCAAATTCATCGGAGTTCTAGTCGAAGGATCCGTCAAGTCCAGTTTCGTCGTGTTAAGTCCAGTTTAAATCATTTTAAGTCTAATTTAAATCATATTAAGTCAAACAACGGTTCATGTTAAGTCTAATTTATTTCCTATTAAGTCTAATTTAACTTATTTAAAGTCTAATTTTATTTTAAGTCCAATTTGATTCATGTTAAGTCTAATTTCAATTCCTATTATGTCCAATTTCAGTTTTGTTAAGTCTAATTTAAGTCCATGTTAAGTCTAATTTTAGTTTATGTTAAGTCTAATTCATTTCCTATTAAGTCTAATACAACTTATTTTAAATCTAATTTCATGCTAAGTCCAAATTAGTTCATGTTAAGTCCAAAATTAGTTCCTGTTAAGTCTAATTTCAGTTCATATTAAGTCTAATTTCAGTTCATGTTAAGTCTAATTCAACTTATTTTAACTTTAATTTCATGTTAAGTCCAATTTGATTCATGTTAAGTCTAAATTAAGTTTATGTTAAGTCTAATTTCTGTTCATGTTAAGTCTAATTCTAGTTCATGTTAAGTCTTGTTCAACTTATTTTAAGTCTAATTTCATGTTACGTCCAATTTGATTCATATTAAGTCCAATTTCAATTCATGTTAAGTTTAATTTCATGTTAAGTCCAAATTGGTTCATGTTAGGTCTAATTTTAGTTCTTATTAAGTTTAATTTTCGTTCATGTTAAGTCTAATTTTCGTTTATGTTAAGTCTAATTTTAATTCATGTTAAGTCTAATTCCAGTTCATGTTAAGTCTAGTTCAACTTGTTTTAAGTCTAATTTTATGTTAAGTCCAATTTAATTCATGTTAAGTACAATTTCAGTTCTTGTTAATTCTAATTTCAGTTCATGTTAAGTCTAATTCCAGTTCATGTTAAGTTTAATTTCAGTTCATGAAATTAAATTAGACTTAACATGAACCAAAATTGACTTAACATAAAATTAGACTTAAAAACAAGTTGAATTAGACTTAACATGAATTAAATTAGACTTTACAGGAATTAGATTAGACTTAACATAAAATTAGACTTAAAACAAGTTAAATTAGACTTAACATGATTTAAATTACGCATTTTTTTAGTTTTGGGGGGAAAAGGAAGAGAGATCGGGGAAACTTAGGGGGAGAAAGGGAGCAAACAATATGATCGGAGCGTGCAAGCAAGGTCGGCAGTGGCGGATGTGGATGTCAGCAATTGAGAGAAAAAGGAGGAAGAGAGAGAGAAGGAAGTAAATGTGTTATGAGAGAGGAGGATAGGAGAGGAGGAGGGAGGACCAGATTTAGATCCGAAGAGAAGAAAGAGAGAGGAGGAAGAGAGTATTTTGGGCTTTTATATTTGATTTTCTCTCTTTATGCTTAGTTGACCTGAGAATTACATGAAAAAATGACGGAATCACATATATTTGTAATTTAGGGACTGCAGCACATGAGGAAAAGTTAGAAGGGCTAGGTCACACGAAGTTATTGCTTTTGGGACCTTGCCACAATTTTTCCTTCTCTAAATGATAATGTTTCTTTTTAAATTGTACAGTAAACGGTTCGTCCGTGGTTAATCAATACAAAGGGTTGTATTTCAGTGAAATTAATATGTTTTATTGAAATATTTCTTTATTCCATGGTCTGTTAACGAAGAGTTATTTAAATGTTAGCCCCTCACTCATTCAATATTAGTCCCTTGAATATTTGAAATTTCTTATAAATTTCTTAAACCCTAATGATCTTGCAGTTTGGTCCCGACAATGATCAAAATAGTCTTTAAGTAATTTCTTCTAAAAGTCCAAATTAAATAATAATAATAATAATAATCTTTTTTCTAAGCTTTCTCCTTACAATGTATATTTGTTTCCCCAAAATAAAAATCTTAGTTTGAAGTCACGAATTGCTACATAATTAACACAAAATCTATTAGGGGCATTTATAAACTCTCTAAATTATAAGAATTTTTAAATTTACCCTCCAAATTATTATAATTCTAAGTTCTCTCCTTCAAATGATAAGGAAGGTCTTTTGAGATTTCTTCAGAAATGTAAAATATCCATGTAAAATAAAAATTAGTTTTATATTAAAAAGTATCAAATGTGTTTTTTAGGTTATTTCGTATTAGCTCTTCATATCTTCCAATAATTTCATATTAGTCCCTCAAATCTCAATAGTTGCTCATTCGCCCCTCAAAAGTCCTACGCAGTCTTGTAATTTGGCCCCTCAATGACCCATAATTATGATCTTTTCCCCTTAATACCGATAGTCTTTATTAAAAAAAAGACTATTTGCACTTTGGTGCTCGAAAGTTTACACATATTTAACTTTAATATCCATAAATTTTTTTGACATTTTGACACCCTAAAGTTTATCATAATCTTAATTTTAATACCTTAAATTTTTTTTTTCCAAGACTTTTGTTATGACAAAGTTTATACCTTTTTCTTTGATCCCTAAAATTTTGTTATTGACACTTATATACCCCAAACTTTAAGGTATAAAAGTTATAAAAAGTGTAAAGTTTAAGGTATCAAAGTTAAAAAATGTGAAACCTTTAGGATGTGAAAGTTAAAAAAAATGTAGACTTTACGGTATCTAAGTGTCAAAAAGTATGAGTATCAAAGTCAAAAAATATAATATTTGGGGTATTAAAGTGTCAAAAAACTTTAGGGTATCAAAGTTTTAAAAGATGTAAACTTTAGAGTGCCAAATTGCGAATAACCATTCGAACACTAGTTGAGGGTACTTTACTGTTTGAGTAGGGCTGAGCATGGTTCGGTCCAAACAGGAAAAACCGACCGAACCGATCCGAACCGACCCGAAAAAATCGGTTTTATGAGTAGGACGGTTCGAGTCGGTTTGAAAACTTTTTAACCCGAACCGATTGAATATAGTGCAATACTACCCATTCTGATCTTAAACCCTACCTGACCCGTCCCCAAAGAGTCAAAGACTCAAACCCTAAACTTATTTTCTGAATCATTATGGGTTGAAAACAATATCATTATATTAGTGTTTAATGCTTCATAATCTCCTACTTTGTTGATATCTTTTTTTCTTTAACACAGTTTGTTGTTTGATAAGAAGTTTGATGAAGTTAGAACCGAACAAACCGAACCGAACCGCACCGAACCGACTTGTAACAGTTTGGTTCGGTTTTGAATTATAGACGGTTCGGTTCGGTTATTCAAATTTTGGTAAAAACCAAACCGAACCGATCGTTGCACACCCCTATGTTTGAGGAACCAAATTGTAATAACACTAGAACTTGAGGGACTAATGAGCAATTTCATGAATTTGAAGAATAAATATTGAATTATTGAAGATTTGAGCGACAAATATCTAAATAATTTTTTTTAAAGAGTAACAAACAATTTTTTTTACAATAAATATTATATGCAAATTTGTTGTAGTTACACTTACACGTATTGAACACATAGCTCGCTTGACAAACGCGTGGGGATGTACTCTGGTTGATAGAAATTTCGTTCTAGAGAGAGAGAGAAGAGAGAGAAACAGACGAGATCGAGCAGCTTATGCGATGCCGTTGGCGGCGGCGGCGGCGGTGGCGGCGGCGGNCTCTACTCGGATCGGCCTTCATCGTTGTCTGCTACCTCTTCTTCAAAGAGCTCCGCAAGTTCTCTTTCAAGCTCGTCTTCTTCCTCGCGCTATCCGTAATCTCTCTCTAACTGTAGTTCAAAGTAGTTGTTTTTTATTTGAATTCGCAACGGCCAAGATCTGAGCTTTTTTTGGTGAATTAAGTGTTATTTAGCTGAGATTTTATGATCGAGGGTTTCTGCTAGCGTTTGATGTAGAAGCTACTTATCAAAAGTGAGGTTCGATCTGTTTTCTAATTAGAGAAAGACGATGCATGAAAATGCGATGATCTGAGCTGGAGACGGAAAATTGGTTGTAGTTGTCATCATTCTTCATCAATTTGGATTGGAAGTAGGTGATTGGGATCAGCTTCTCGATGGCTGCTACTATTTTATATCTTAGTTCTTGAATTTTTGATGGTTATTGTGTTGCTTTAGTCATTGGGAAAACAATATAGTTTTGTTAGTTTAACTGTTGGAAGACATGAGGTTGGTGCATATCGAAAGTTTCTGAACTAATGCAAATTACCTTTAGAAGAACGGGATACCATCAAGCCTCAGACTCATTTTGGAACTTGAAGTGGAAAGAATGCAGCCTCCTATCTATTAGAAGTTGCGTACTGAAGTATGGAATTGAAGGTTTCCAACAGTGGAAGATATTCTCTCTCCCGCTCAACTCTCGAATAAAATTTGATATTTCTAATGTCTTCTTCTTCATACTCTTTTGTTCACCTTTCTCTTGCTCTCTTAGAAAGCACGAGAACAATCTTCTAGATCCCTTTAAGATTTTCCTATTCTAGGAAATCTCTGAAGCTTTTCTTGAGCTTAACAGTCTCAACTTATGGGAGATTTTTGAAGGCTACATGGGATCATATATTGTTCAATCAATAAGTCTCCCATTTTTTATTAAATGGAACTCCTTTTTCTTACTGGAATTACAACAAAAAGGTTCCATTTTATCCCCAAAAGCATCTCTCCAAGATTAGTTTGTCCTCCCAGGATCTGGAATAGAAATATTTTATGGAATTAAAATGGTTGTCCTGATCAGACACTTAGAAGGGAATGTTTGAACTTTGTGCGCGATCTTTGGCAAGCGTCAGATAGAGTTCTATACTAAGACTGATATACAGGGGGAGTTCCCACTTGTTCAAGTCAAATTTCCCATTTCTTATTTCAAATTTGAGCATGATCAGAAGTAGTGATCTCTCTAAGACTGTTCTCTTCAATTAATAGATTCTGGGAGCGAGCAAATGCGCATCTAATTGAAAAGTGAAGATGTAGTGCTTTAATCGTGTTATACTTGGACAAGTGGCATTATACTCAGATTTAGATAAACATTGATTTTTAACTTAACTCCAGACAAGTCATTTTTCAGGTAGACTTTGATAAATATGAAATTTATCATAATTTCTTAACATTTTCCATCCTATTTAAATAAGTTGTTTTATGCTTAAATTTAATAATAATTTAATTTAGACTTTGTGTTTTCCTCTCTCAGATTAAAGGAAGAATAAACAGTTTTAAGTAGCTATAGTTATTGATAATAGGATATAATTATATTTACTGAATTTGTGCAAACATCTTTTTGGGACGCGTGCATAGAACGTGCTTGAAACTGGTTGTAAGAAAATAGATCCCATTCCCACCCAAAAGAGAGCAATCCATTCCCAAGCATGCTTGTCTGTAGGGATTTCTGATTTTCTGCTTATGTATTGCTTATGAGGGAAAATGTTTTGCAGTTTCTAACTTGGTGTATTCCTGTTTCAGGATATGTTCTGCAGTTTCTTCCGCATAATTGGGTATGCTCCTCTCTGACTGAAATCATAGAATTTATTGTACCAGAGACTCTGTTATTTTGTTGAAAACTATGATACCCGTCAACAGACTTTACCAGTTCTTGACTCGGCATCTACTACCTAGACTGATACCTTTTTGTGTATACGATACTTCTGCTTCTTGAATGTACTATATAGTTATATATTAGAAATTTAGAATATTTT